GTTTGTGTGTGTTCTTGTGTGTTTGTGTGTGTGTGTGTGTGTGTGTGTGTGTGTGTGTGTGTGTGAGTGTGTGTGTGTGTGAGTGTGTGAGTGTCTGTGTGTGTATGTGTGTGTGTGTGAGTGTCTGTGTGTGAGTGTCTGTGTGTGAGTGTGTGTGTGAGTGTGTGTGTGTGTGAGTGTGTGAGTGTCTGTGTGTGTATGTGTGTGTGTGTGAGTGTCTGTGTGTGAGTGTCTGTGTGTGAGTGTGTGTGTGAGTGTGTGTGTGTGTGTAGAGGTCACAGGAAGTCTTGTTGCCTGAGAATCTCACTGAAGTGGAAACTCATTATTTTGGCTGAACTGATCAGTCAGTGTGCTCTTGGGACCCATCTATCTTGACACTTGATGCTGGGATTACAGTCATGAGCAGCCATACCAACCATTTTTTTTTATGTGGGTGTTGGGGATTCAAACTCATGTAGTAATGCTCACTCAGAAAGCACCTTAGCCCCTGAGCCATCTCCCCAGCCCTTCTTCTTTTAAATGGATGTCATTGTGCTATGGGATGCACACAGTGAACTGGGTCTCACAGTGAAACAGGCGTGTTTATCAACTCACACAGTCACTTCTGTTGTTGGTGTCCTGAAGCAGTCTCATGTAGCCCAGGTTGTCCTCAAACTCACTGTGTAGTTGAAGTTGACTCCAAACTCCTGATTCTCCTTTCTTCTAGCTCTCAATTAGGTGACACCATACCTAATTGATCATCCTGGTAATCACTTTGAGGTTGTGCCTCTCTTTGGGAAGTGTGTTTTCAAGGCATTCTTATCTACTAGAGATCTGTAGGGAGGTATGCATGAATGAGATGATGCACAGATACCCAGTGTGTGCATGCATGCATTCGTAGTAAGCTGATAAAATGAGTTGATAATAGGCATTGTGTGATGAGATGTGACAGTTGCCTAAAAATTATCTCATTATCAGATTTTGTGCATGTTTGGCATTTCCAAACCCAAGAAAAAGGTATTTATTTAAATCACATGTATTTAAACCACACCAATTTAAATCCTATTTCTACATTCAAATAGCATTTGCTCATTTAAATATTTATTTATTTATTTATTTATTTATTTACTCATCTATCTATTTTGGGTTGTGTGTGTGTGTGAATGTGCCACGACAATTTGAGGGATCTGCTCTCTCCTTCCACCACAAGGGTTCTGGGGATGAACTCAGGTATCAGGCTTGGTGGCAGGTGCATTTATATCTCGACAGCCCTTACCTTAAGATTTTTAATAATACAGGGAAATAGGAGAATATGCCTCAAAACAGACTGTTACTGAAGCCGGGTTGCGGAGGACCAGGCAGCCAGGGCCAAGCTTTGAGAGTTCAGCACCTCAGACAGCGACACGGCACTAGAGCCTGTGTCAGCAGCAAACGCAAAGCACAGAGGTCCTATTAGTTACACTCCTCTAATTGTCGCGGGCTTACTACTCTGGGCCCAGCCTTTAACTGCAGCCCCTTGGTGTCATCCTAATTGGTGTCATCATAATGTCTCCCTAATGTACTTCTGTGTGGAAAGCCGGCAGGTCCTGTCCTCCCTGTCTGCATCCAGGCAGGTCTCTGCATCTCCCGTGCTAGGCTGCAAAAAGGGCCAACCTGCTCTGTTCTAAGCCTTGTCTTGAGAAAGGCTCTCATGTATCCTAGGCTAGCTTCAAATGCACTATGTAGCCAAGGCTGGCCTTGAACTTTTTTTGTTTTCTTCCTCGAGACAGGGCTTTTTTTCTATGTAGCTTTGGAGCCTGTCCTGCAACTAGTTCTATAGACCAGGCATGCACCACCACCACCTGGCTTGGCCTTGGACTTTTGATCTTTTTTGTTTTCACCTTCCAGTTGCAGGGATCATGAGTGTGTGCAAGCCCAATATTTGTCTGTTTTTCCTTTTCTCCAGTGCTGGGGAACTGATCCCAGGGGTTCATGCCAGCTAGGCAGGGGCTCTATTCCTAAGGGGCTTCCCAGCCCCTTGGGTTCTTGTTAGCTGTTTCCCCAGCTGTGGCTCCTGGAAGCAGGATTACCATTCTCAAGGAGGATACAGACCTAGGCAGGTGGAGGGCCTGGAGAGTGGCCTCTGCTTGGGGATTTCTTAAGGGTGCCATCTCTGCTGGAGGTCTCCTCTGCCTAGGGACAGGTCCTCTTTGCCTGGGGTCCACTCTGGGGTTCCTCTCTGCTGGGAGGCGGTCTTCTCTGCTTGGGGGTTTCCTCTTTCGAGGAGAGGGTCCCCTCTGCCTGGGGTGTCCTCTCTGGGAGAGCCCCCCCCTGCCTGTAGATTTCTCTGCTGGGGGTCTGGTCCTCTCTGTCTGGAGAGGCCCACTCTGGGGTTTCCTATTTGCCTTTGGGGGGGGGGGGGGGGGGGGGTTTTTTTCCCCG